CGGCTCTCGGAGCGCCGCCGCCGCCGCCGCCGCCGCCAAATCCTCAGCCCCTCATTGGCCGCTGGCCGCGGCGCCTGCCGGGAAATGCAGTCCCTGGTTTGCGGCGCAGGGGGGCGAAAGGAGGAAGAGGGTAGTCGGCGGGGCGGAGAGGAGCGGCCCGAGAGAGTCTAGACAAGAAGTGAGACCGCAGGCGATAAAGGCAGAGACAGGAAGGAATGATACGAAGGAGGGTAAAAAAGAAACAAACAAAAAAACAGAAGACAGGTTAAAGGTTGGGCCTGTGAGGTAAAATTGCGTTCGTGCGTATTCTTTGAGACTTGTTCAATAACAGCACATATTAAACACCATATGGTACTCCTCAGAGTGACACTGCTGCACACTCCCTAGATGTTAGAAACAACCTACAAACGAGTGCTGGGTTAAGGTGACCGGGAAAGAGAAGAACAATTTGTGTGCCTCCTTGGGTGCCTTCTGTCCGACAGCTGTCAGAGTCAGGGCTTCCTATCTCACATGGGTCTGCGTAAGGAAACCGTGGCAGCAATTTCAGACCTGAGCCGTGGGGAACAGTCTCTCTTTCAGCCTCGGATGTGAGTCCCAGATGCCCCCCGCCGACCCTCGTCCCGCCCCACGATCGCAAGCCGTGGCGGCATCTCAGTCGCTGTGAGGAAGCGCTGACCTCCCTGGCAGCCACCGGGCCCCGCACGCCTTCTTCCTGCTCGCACTGCGGGCCCGGAGGCTTGTGGGTAAAGAGGAGGACGTCAGCGCCGACTGCGGCCCGGACCCCTAGGGACCCAGAGAGCTCGGTGCCCGTCACGTGCCTGGGCCCTCTGCTGCTCACTGCCAGACCTTCGCTTCGAGGGATGGGAGGGCATCAGTCCTCGAGAGAACTCACGCAAGAATGAGCGGAGGAAACTGGAGTCAAAATTCTCTGTAACCCTCTAAGCCCTCCCCATGCTAGGAAATTTATGTTAAACAATAGAAGGTGTGTGACACAGTAAAGTCGTCTTGCCGGAGTGTACAAAATTTGGTGATATTTCCTGGGGCCTGGTGGTGATGACTTAGAACGTTGCGGCACAGAGACTTGAACGTACAAAGGAAATACAGGCAGCAGCAATCAGATGAGGAAACCTATACTCTACGCTCTGTTCTGAGAATAATAAAGCTGTGTCACTACTAGATGTTATATTCTGCACCGACATTATAGTTCTGGATCTGTTTGGCACGGCCACAACAAATTTCTGATATCTTTATCTTTAAATACCATTTAAACAAGAAATTAAAAGATTCCTACCGATCAATTATTTTAATGACTACTAATTATGTTTCAGGTTTTTAAAAAACATAACCCTTTAATTATACTATAGATGATACTGAGAATTAAGCATTCTCATTACCGTTAATCATTAACTATTTTTTTCTTAAAGATTTATTTACTTATTTGACACAGAGAGAGAGCACTACAAGCAGAGGGAGAGGCAGAGAGAGAGGGAGAAGCAGGCCCCCTGCTGATCCTGGGATCATGACCTGAGGATCATGGGATCCTGAGATCATGGGATCATGCATGACCTGAGCCGAAGGCAGATGCTTAAACAACTGAGCCACCCAGGCGCCCTATTCATTAACTATTTCTTTTTTCTTTTTTTTTAAAGATTTTATTTATTTATTTGACAGAGAAAGACACAGCGAGAGAGGGAACACAAACGAGAGAGGGAACACAAATGAGAGAGGGAACACAAACGGGGAGTGGGAGAGGGAGAAGCAGACTCCCTCCCGAGCAGGGAGCCCGATGCGGGGACTCGATCCCGAGACTCCAGGATCATGACCTGAGCCGAAGGCGGTCGCTCAACCAACTGAGCCACCCAGGCGCCCTCATTAACTATTTCTAAACATATGCTTATGTAGTACCTGTTTTGTGCAGTACCAAAAGTTAAAGGAATCAGTAAAAAGCACATTTTTGTTTTAAATGTCTTTTTAGAACACAGACCTCTTAAAGAGGGCCTCCTGAGCTTATTTCAGTTTGATTGTGTCTCCTGGAAAGAAGTTAAATTGGTCTTTTTTCCCCCTATGATCCTTTCTACCACCATCCTTCCTCTCCATCTTCCTGTATACTCCTTGCTTTGTTGATAAACTGTTGCCTTGACCAGACATCTGGATTATCCCCTTGAGGAGAATCTGGTAAATTGACCTCAGGGATTTTATTTTAATCTGTTTCTAGGCTGACAAGAGTTTAAAATTAAAGTTCTGTGAAGTAGATATATAATCTCTTCCTGCAAAACTTTAGAAAATATACTGTTAATAATATTTGCTCTTGAGCCATATCTAGGGAAATGGCCATTAAAATTAATAATTTACATTTTTAGCATCTAACATCTTCTGAGGTTCAGATAATGCTTTCTCTTCTCCATACAAAATGAGCAAACAGTTCATTAAGACAGCAATCTAACACAATTCCCAGGGCCAGAATTAAGGAGAAAGGAATTTTTTGTTTCTCTTCCGAAGATCATATCCAAAAACTCCTTACATGATAAATCACTTAAATCCTGAAAGTCAAAAAATTGCCAGGCCTGACAGCAGAAGGCAAACATTGCTTTGAACAAAGGGATTTCAATAGGAAGGTTCTTAACCCTTCCCTTTTCAGAATAGGATTGCTGACATATGACTGTAGTAGAAAATCTAGCTCATCTTTCCAATACTGAGCTTGGAATCATTCATCTGGTTTACGAATACTTAATGATTTTACGGTGCCTGTTTGTGAGTGAATACAATGCATGAATAAGAATATTTCCTGGTATAAAATGTCTCCCAGGGAACTGAAAGGAGTATTTTTCATCTTTATGATCTTTTCCAGAAAAGTACATGTTCATGTTAGTACAGTGATTAATTTATAGAATTAATGTGAAAATTGTAACTATCTGGACTTTTAGAGCTCAAAATTTGCCATCGGGAATTTTCAGGAAAGGAAAGGGAAAGAGACCAAAGCTTTGTAGATTTTGTTAATTCTAGTAAACATAGAACATGAAGTGAAACCTTTATGTAGAAACTCGGGCATAGAGCATGCACAAAGGGCCCTCTAGTGGCCAAACTGAAAAGTTCTGCCTATTTAACATGGTTGATCCCTTTGGCTATTAGCTGAAAAATGCTTTGTGGATTAAAAGCAGTCTACATTAAAAACAACAAAACAAAACAAACCTGAAATTAAATACCCGCCATCTTTCATTCTTATAAATGTGCAGCCTAGATGAGAGAGGTCTCTGGTCAACTCACATGTTAAGAGAAGTACTCTCCCTGTGAAAGCGATTCCTTGTTGTCTGGTGTTAGCCCAAGTAGAGCCACTAAAAATTTTGTTTTCCTTCTAGAGCTAGATGAAATGGATGGGTAGAGATAACAGGAGAGCGAGAACATTTCTGTATCTTTCATTTTTCCAAGATGGCTCAGTTACCCAACCTAGGAACTGAAGTGCCCCAAACCTGCAGTGCCTACCTACGTCACTGCACAGTTATTATAATATACATCTTAAGTGTTGATACTTCTCCACAAACTACTGATCATAAACAATACCTGATAAGAGAGCATTTATAAAGCAAATTACTTTAGTGGAATTCAGATTTCCATATGAAGATTTCACAGCATTCCACTCTTAGGCCCCGGAGAAAGGAAAGGGATGTTTTCCTAACCATTCCCGCCCTTTCTGCCACTCCCTCTCCGCAGAGCTCTCCGCGCCATCCCAACCCCGGCAGTTGTTGATTTGGGGGGGGGGGGGTACATCAAAGTGATGTAATTCGTGACTTTAAGATGGTTACCATGGCGACTATCAGGCATATTACGCTATCGGTAGGGTAAAAGGTTCTTTAATCTAGCCTTCCATGAGGATTTTCGGGGAGGTTAGCCCACAGCCCAGAGAGTGTAGACAGGCGGAAAGACGTCACTCTTGCCCCCTCCCGCAGCACAGACTCTGCTTAAACTAAACCCAATAAAGAGGTCATTTCGCCGGTGGGAACCGGACCTCGGCTGCCTCCAGGGCTGCCACAGCAAAGGACGTCCTCCCTCCCCATAATCTGAGAGCTCATTGGTGAGTGGTGTCGTCACTCAGAGTGACGTAACGGGTTAGGAAAGAGGTGGAGCCATAGAAACTTGGCCTGGGCCCTTCTAGCTGGGGAGCTGGGGGAGGGGGGTTTGGGAAGGAACTGGAGGATTGAGGCAGCCGTTCCGGGGAGCCGGCCCGAGGAGGTAGGGGTGGGCGGGCCAAGTCCTCAGGCTGTTATTTGGTGGACCTTGCCTGCCTTTTTTTCCTCCGGAGCCCGTTCACTCCGCATCCTGCTCTTCCCATCAGCGCCCAGGTTTCCCGACAGCTTCCAGTTCCCCACCGCACTTGCCTCAGCCCTTGACCTCGTGCCCCTGCCCGCCCCCCAACTTTGGAGTTCAACCTCCATTTCCCCTCCTTCTGTGCTTCGCTTCCTCCTTTATCTTCCGTACCCTGCGCCCGGCTTCTCCTTGTCTTCCTTCCATAAACCTGGATCGCCAACAAGGTTGTCGTCCCCGTGCCTGCACCATCCCCGCACCCAAACACAAAGAACCGCCCCCCAATCCCCAGACCCCGGTACCGCAAACACAGTCCACCAACACACTACGTGCACAAAAGCCGCCGGCTGCGGAAGCCGACGGCGCGTTTTGCCCCTGTGTCGTCAAGGGCCAGAAGCAAAGGTAACCCGGGGAGCCTGGGGCCCCCGCGTGTGGGCGTGGGCGGCGCGAAGGCGCAGGCGGGGCTCCCGGCCGTCCCCGCCTAGGAAGTGGTTCCCCTGCAGCTTCGGGCGGGAGTGCCCAGGGGTCAGAGAGCAGGTTAACCGCTCGATCGGGTGTGGCATGCCTCCGGCAGGAGACCACCCGCCCTTAGCCTGGGTTTAGATGTTCCGAAGGATTCTTTGAACTCCTGTTCAAAATGTCAGCTCTGTGGTTGAGGTTTCCGTACAGGAGAGCACCGTGGTCTACGCCTTTTCCAGCTGCAGGAAAGTAGTGTTGACGTTAAGAGATATTACCAAAACATCTTGCTGCCCTTGACTGGAAAGGACCACAGGATGGAGAAAGGTTTTGATAAAGCTTGTTTAAAGGTAGCTCAGTTTGATCTCTTTGGAGAATCACCAGTACAGGAAATCGATTTACCTGCACTTGAATCATTAGTAGGTACCATGTGTATCTTCACTGCTACATAAATGTGGTTAGTGAGTACTTTTTTTTTTTTTTTTTAGGTAGGCTCTGTGCCCAACGTGGGGCTTGAACTCGTGACCCTGAGATCAAAGAATCCAATGCTCTAGTGACTGAGCCAGCTAGGTGCCCCTACTTTCAATCTTCAAAGTTTGGGGCAACTTGGCCAAGTATGGGAAAAAGCTAACTGAAACAAATCCAGGGTATTTTATTCTACCTGTATTTTTAGGCTACAAAAAAGTATGTATTGCTTAGCTTCTTAAATACCTGGCAACCATTCAAGTAGGTTGCTAGGTGTTATTGACCAGAAATAAAAAAGTCTTTGAAGACCATATAACCATCATGAGCACCATGATGTTAGAGATCATTTCTACTTGTTGGGATCTCAAAGTACCATTCTCAAATCCAAGCTGAGAAAACATTCATGATTGTTGGAAATGATCTTGAGAGAGGTTTTACACCTTGAATGGAATATGGAAATTTTCTACTCTTGCAATAGTAAACACTGAAATCCTGGTATCTTTATAATTGGTGTGTCTTTAAAATACTAAATTGTTTACTTAATCCTTCTGTCTAGGTTCCCTTGTTGACTAGTTGAGACAAATATAAGTATGGCCTTCTACAGTTATAAAACAGTCTTAGCTATTGCCCGAACAAGGTAAGCTGTGGAATCCCCTCTTCCCCTGCAATATTTATATGAACTTTCTTCTAGAAAAAGATATATGTAAAAGGATAGGCTTGTTCCACAACAAATGAAAGCTTTGTTGCCTTTAACTATACTGGTTTTTAGGAAGCTGACATTTTATTGTATTTACACTTACCCCAGATTTTCTATATGCCTTAGAACTCAGGCTGAGTAATTTTTAGATGTATGGCACAGGGAAGAGAGAAGATGTAAAGGTGACACCTCTGTAACTAATGAATGTTACATGGGGCCCTTAGATAGAAAAATGAGTAAAAAGGCTGGCAAACAAGCCAGTCCTAGGACATATACCTGCCCTCGGAGGGTCTGTTATCACTTATTTATTCCAAAGAATATTCACTGAGAACTTACTATGGGCCAGATACATTGTACATTTTCCCTTTTGGCCCTTCAAAAAGTGCTTTGTCTTGGTGTGCTTCAAAAACAGTCTGAAAGAATGGAAAAGCCCTCTCTTTGCCAGAAGAAATGTCTTTGCCAGGAACTTTCTTTGCCTAGATGGGTCTTATTTTTATTTTCAAACAATCTCATGTGCTAATTTAACTGAAGATTTTGAGCTGTTGCAAAACTAGAAGGTAGAGATCCCTGGCTAGGGTGCCCAATTCTAATTCTTATTCCCAACATTCTTGAGGAATTGTAGGTGAAGGACATTTGGGCCCTAAATGCCTCTCATTTGAGGGAGTCCACGGGCACCACACAGACAAATCAGTATTAAGCGTTTGGTTAATTCCCACAGAGGCCATGAAGTGTTTTGTTCAAGCAATATTCCTACTGTCAGCAGAGTAACCAAAGATGCAAGCGTTCCACCTGTTTTTCAAACACAACCCCTGGTGGAAAAATGTTTGCTGTTAGATTTTTAAATTAATAGTTGCAGACGTTCGTGCTCGCGTCAGCAGAGCTTTTACTAAAGTTGGAACAATACAGAGAAGATTAGCATGGCCCCTGCGCAGGAATAGTTGTAGAGTTTCTAACTTGTAACATAGCAATTATTTTTAGGAATTAACTTATTAATATTTCTCATAGAGTCTATCATTCAACCATAAAGCACACTGTTCTTCAACTGGGGTAAAAAGTTATATTTCATTTGTTTATAAATATCATCTGCTTTTAAAATATTATAAATATTAAAATATTTATTTCTTTAGTTTTTAAGTTTGTAACACTATGTGCTCAACTAAGAGGATGTTGCTCTTTATTCCAGATTCCCTAGCTATTTTGTCCATCCTATGAGCTCTTCTTATTCCGCATCATTTGCATTTCTTCACTTGCCAGATTCCCATTTAAATAAAACATACATGAAGAACTGTGTAAGCAAGAAGTACTCCTATCCTAATCAGTCAGGCAATAAAGTACTTCACTTACGAACTAGAATAATACAAAAGCTACACACGTCAACTTGCTGGTTACAAGAGGTCCCTGGTAAACCTCAGCTGGAGCAAACCCCGAAAAAGCCCCAGGTGACAAGCCCTCAGCCCACAAAAGGACCTGGCATGAAGATTAAGGAAGAAAAGCGATCTTATAGACAAAGAATTATGGGTGAACTTAAACATTATTACAATGGATTCTACTTGCTGTGGATTGACACCAAAGTTGCTGCCAGAATGGTTTGGAGGCTGTTGCATGGGCAGGTGCTGACCAGAAGAGAGAGACGAAGGGTAGGCAAGGATCATATTTGAGAAAGAAAATGTAAAGTGAAAATGAACTATATGGCAACCAAGTTTTAAACTCACCTGAAAATTCATCCTAAAAATCCCAAAGTGGGAATAGTTACTGATGGTGAGAACCAGAGTTTCTTATTCGTCTGAAACGGACTTACTGTGCAATTTTAGGCAAGATCTTGAGATTTGTGCATATTTGCCTCTAAAATGGTTATAATTGTGTTTTCTAATCTCCCCAAGGAATTGAGAAGCTTCAAGTTTGATCTGTGGACCCGCAATAGAAACTGCTGTTAATATATTAAGGATATGCATTTGAAAAATCAGTCTTTAACAGACACTATGCTGTTAAAGTACAGACCCCTGACATAGATGAAAGCTAACAATAGATGATGTCAGCAATATGTTTTGATTGTCATAGATTTCCTTGAAGGTATCCCATAGATGTTACTTCAGAGCGATGGTAAAGAGGAAAACCCGACCTTTCCATTTTATCCAAAGCTGCAGAAAATCCGTCTAGGGTTTTTAACACTTTAAGGACCAAGGCAGGCTTTTTTGGTTTCATATTTTTGTTTGGGGCGTGTCCTAAAATAATGAATACTGCCTATGCATTTAATTCTTTAGCTCTTGAGGACTTGTGCTGATTTCTTCCGCCTGGTTCCATTTATGGTGTTCATAATTGTACCCTTCATGGAATTCTTATTACCGGCATTTCTGAAATTCTTCCCAGAGATGTTGCCATCAACTTTTGAAAGTGAATCCAAAAAGGTATGTAGGATTTTTTAACTTAAAAAAAAAATTAATGGACTCTATTCGTTAGTTTTTAAGTTTATAGAAAAATTGAGCAGAAAGTATAGAGGGTCCCCAGATACTCCCCCCATTTTCCCTGTTATTAATGTCTTGCATTTGTGTGATCTATTTGTTGCAGTTGAAGAACCAATATCGAGATATTATTAGTTAAATCTCATACTTTACATTAGACTCCACTCTTTTTGTTGTACTGTTCTATGGGTTTTGAAAAATGCATAATGTCATGGTATCTACCATCACACCATCATACAGAATAGTTTCACTGCCCTAAAAATGCCCTGTGCATCATCTGTTGTTCCTCCTACCTCCCCCAACCAGTGGCAACCACTGTCTCCATAGATCTGCCTTTTCCAGAATGTCATATAGTTGGAATCATACAGTGTGTAGTCCTTTCATGGATCATTTCTTTTCTATCACTGCATAATATTTCATTGTATGGATGTGTCACAGGTTGTTTATTCACCTGTTGAAGGGTATTGTGGTTGACTCCAGTTTTTGGCAATTATGAATAAAGCTGCTATAAAGATCTGTGTGCAGGTTTTTTTTTATGATCATAAGCTTTCAACTCATTTGGAGTCCTAAATACATAGGAAAGCAATTACTGGATCATATGGTAAGACTATGTTTAGTTTTGTAAAAAATAACTGTCTTCCGAAGTCTCTGTACCATTTTTCATTCCCACCAGCAATGAGAGTTCCTATAGCTCTGTATCTTCATCAGCATTCAGTATTGTCAGTGCTTTGAATATCAGCCATTCTTATAGGTGTGAAGTGATATCTCATTGTTTGGTTTTTTTTTGCATTTTTTTATTCTTATGTTAATCCCCATACATTACAGTGATATCTCATTGTTATTTTAGTTTGCAATTCTCTGATGATGTATGATATTGAGCATCTCTTCATATGTTTATTCGCCACCTGTAGATCTTCTTTGGGGATGTATCTGTTTTTTGCCCACTTTTTAATGGAGTTGTTCATTTTCTAATTGTTAGGAGTTCTTAGTATATTTGGATACAAGTCCTTTAGCAGATATGTGTCTTGCAAATATTTTCTCCCAGCCTGTGGCTTGTCCATTATCTTAACTGTCTTTCACAGAGCTAATGTTTTTTATTTTAATCAAATACAAGTTATCAGTTGTTTTTGTTTTTGCATTGTACTTTTGGTGTTGTATCTAACAACTCACTGCCAAGTTCAAAGTCACCTAGGTTTTCTCCTACATTTTCTTTTTTTTTAATTTTAAGTAGGCTCCACACCCAACGTGTGGTTTAAACTCACGACCCTGAGAGCAAGAGTCCCATGCTCTACTGACTCAGCCAGCCAGGCACCCCTCCTACATTTTCTTCTAGAAGTTTTATAGTTCTGAATTTTAAATTTAAGTCTATGATCCATTTTGAGTGAATTTTGGTGAGAGGTGGAACATCAGGGTTAATATTCATTTTTTTCTTTTTTGCATGTGGATACCCAAGTTTCCCTAGCATCATTTGTTGAAAAAACGATCCCCATTTCCATTGAATTTTAACTTGTTTTTAACCATTAAAAAATAAAGAAAACAAAAATCAACTGTTATTGCAGTGACTAGTTGAACAGTGGGCATGATTTAGCCAGACAGACCCTTTCGTGCTTGAGAGTAGTCCTGGAGAAGAGGGGTCCTCACTGGATGGTCACTGTGAAGGTGACGGGCTGGGAAAATTAAGGTGGCCTCTTTGTTCTTTCCATTCTGTGCCACTCCACTGGACAGAGATCTGAAGGCATGAACACGTGATGGGAGGACGAACAGGACAACTCTTAAATCAGATTGGGAAATGTTTCCTAGAAGAGATAACTCTGCAACCAAGACTAGAAGAGTGGTAGAATTTTGCCACAGCATTTGAAAGGCTTTCTGGATAGAAAGAGTAGCACTTAAAATGGCTTACTTATGTGAAAGAGTATCATATAATCTGAGACACTGAGCGCTTCTTTGTGGTTGGAGCAGGGAATACAAGGGGATCAACTGTGGAAGATGAGACAAAGTGATGTGTTGGGGTCAGGTTGGAAAGTGTCTACCACCCTAAGGAATTTAGACTTTGCCTTTGACTATGGTGAATAATGGAACGTAAATTTAAGCAGAGGGTGGGTAACACGGTTAGATCTGTATTTTAGAAAAAAATGATATTGCTGGCTGGCTGAAAGGATTGACGAAGGCAGAGCCAAAGGAGGGAAATCGGCTGGCATGCTCTTACAGTAGCACAGGAGAGAGAGGATTAAATTATGAAAGTGGCATTAGGAATAAAAATTTGAAGATACATTAGAGACACATGTAAGGGGTAGAATCAAATTGCAATATGTGACTGGCAGTGGTTTAGTTTACTTACATTTAAGGTAATCAGGACCTAGAATTAATACCATGGGATTCCAAGGAATGTGTTCGTGAATGCAGGAAGATGGGGGGAATAAAGGAAGTGATTTATCTAAAGATTCCTCTTTCCTCAACGCTGCTCATTCCCCAGATATAATACATACACACCATGGCCACAGTTTTGGAAAATACGTTCTCTCTCTTTCTTTTCCATGGACTAAAACAAATGAGAAAATGAGAGAGAGAGAAGTGGTGGTGGAGGGGAGGAGGTTGTGGGAGGCAGAGTGGGAGGAAGCAGGACTTTGTATTTACGTCAGATCAGAGCACCCATGCATTTCTCTTTAGTAGTACTTATCTATTATACTTTAATTTGTGGAATTACTGGATTATCATTAGTCACTAATGTTTGTCTTTCCCGTTAGACCAGAAGTCCCATGAGGGCAGGAATTCTTATCTGTTTTTGCTCATTTTATCCCCAGCACCTAGTACAAGGTAGATGCTCAATAAATAAATGAATAGATGGATGGATATGGATGTAGGAAATGGATGACTAAGTGGGTTCTAATGATGGTATTGCCATTGCCGTGTGTGATTTTTTTGGTTGAGTCTTTAAGATTTTTCTAAAAATTCATGATTGCTATGATTGACTAATCATTAGAATCTCTTGGGCAACTTAAAAAAAATATAGAGAATCCCATTCCTCTCCATCCCCCTGAGTCCTGACCATGGTTATTATTTTTTTAAAGATTTATTTATCTATTTTAGAGAGGGAGAGCAAGCAAGCGTGTGAGCCAGAGGGGCAGACGGAGAGGGAGAGAGAATCCCGGGCAGACTCTGCACAGAGCATGGAGCCTGACGCAGGGCTCAATTTCATGACCATGAGATCATGACCTGAGCCGAAACCAAGAGTTGGATGCTTAACTGACTGTGCCACCCAGGCGCCCTTAACTGTGGTTATTTTGAAAATGCTACCACACTGCATGTCTGATAATAAATGAGGATTTAGAAGTACTCGTTAACATCATGTCTTAAGAGTATACATTTAGCCCGCACCTTGCTGGCTCAGTCGGTAGAGCATTCAACTCCTGATCTCCGGGCTGTGAGTTCAAGCCCCACCTTGGGAGTAGAGATTGCTTAAAAAAAAAAAAAAAAGTACATTTAATTCTCTTCTGTGTAGTGCTTTGTTCATATCTGTTATAACACTTAAGTCGGTGTATTATAATTAATTGTATCTGTTTTGTACTGAAGCTATATGCTACTCTAGCATAGAGTTAATGTCCTAGTTTTCTTTGTTTGTGGCCCACACAAAATCTGGGACCGCTCTGGGACCAGGGGCTGGCTCAACTAGCAGCCTAGATGGTTTATACCAGGCTAAGAGATAGTATCTCATTCTAAATAATGACAAAGCTTCCACTGAGGGGATATTTTGGATCTATCAAATAATTATGGTCTATCAAATAATTTGGATCTATCAAATAAAAGGTAAAATCAAGGAGTCAAGTTGCAAATAGAGGCTACTTTTTATTTGTTCTGGTTTTCACAAAACCCATTTAACTAGGTCTGAAAATAATATTAACATGCAAAATAGGGATGAACAAGAACAAAGTGACAATTCTTTTCCTCTCATCTTTATCTATGAAGTTGTAATCATGAAGGATTGATTAACTTTCTCCTCTTCTATTATTAAGGAGGAAAAACAGAAAAAGAAAATGGCTGCAAAGTTGGAACTAGCAAAATTTCTCCAAGAAACGATTACAGAAATGGCCAGGAGGAACAGGGCCAAGCTGGGAGATGCCTCCGTACAGTTCTCCTCCTATGTCAAACAGGTGTCAGTCTTTTGTGTAACACACCAAACAACTGCCAGGCTGGCGGTTATATGAAAAATTCATGTCATTGTGGATCTTCCAGATTGTTCACAGTCTCTGACTTTGCAAATATCTGAGTTATACACATACAATGTTGCAAACATTTATAGTAGTGTGGGGAAAAACCTGCCTTAAAGCAGTCATGTATTGAAGACGTTAATAACTTTTTGGAAAGAACTGTAGATTTAGAGCCAAACTTTTGAACTACTCCTGATTTTGCAGTTGACTCAGGCTGACTTGGACAGACTTCTTTATGCCTCTTGGTACCACAGGGCCCATTTCCAGGCATAAGATAGAGTCTATGAATATGCTTTGATGTGTCTTTCAAATAGTCTACAGGGAAAGTTGAACTAAGAAATACATTTTATAATTTTTTAAAAAGATTTATTGATTTATTTTAGAGAGGGAGAGAGTTTAAGTGAGTGGGAGGGAGGGGCAGAGGGAGAGGGAGAGAGAATCTCAAGCAGACTCCCCTCTGAGCTCAGAGCCCAAAGTGGGGCTCCATCCCTCCACCCATGAGATCATGACCTGAGCCGAATGCTCAACTGACTAAGCCACCCCCGGAGCCCTATGAAATACATTTTAATTAACATCTTTGTCCCACTGCCTAGGTCCAGACAGGCCACAAGCCCAGCACAAAGGAGATAGTTCGCTTTTCCAAACTATTTGAAGATCAGCTAACCTTGGAGCACCTAGATCGACCTCAGCTGGTTGCCCTCTGCAAGCTTCTAGAGTTGCAGTCCTTTGGAACCAACAATTTGCTCCGCTTTCAACTTCTGATGAAACTAAAGTCTATAAAAGCAGATGATGAAGTAAGAGCTGAACTGTAGACACGGGGAATTAGCAAGGCTTGGGAGATCCCTTAGGGTGGCTTTGTGATAAAGTGTAGTATCTTCTCCTAGATCTGCTCGTGGATGGGTTCTGCAAACCATTGAGTGGTTTAAACAATCATTACCATGACAGTCTGAACCCAGATTACTCATTTTAGGAGTTGTTTGTCGTACTCTGATGCATTTTCTGGAGAATGCCCTCATAAGCAGTTAGTGATTTAGTAATCTACATCAGTTAGGACCCACTAGGAAGGAACAGCCCCCAGGAGGTTCCTGAGTCTTCCATTGCTAAGGACAGTGCTCTACTCTCACACCTCAGCTCCCCTTCCTCAGAGCTGGTGCCAAAGTAAATATTCTGCTGGGTGAGTTGGCCTGATAAGGAGGGGTGGCAAGGTGTAATGCAGGGAGGGAGAGCCGAGCCTAGACATCTGATGGAGGAAAGGCATCATAACTACTAATTAGACTCCTTAAAAAATGGAAAGAATGTTTCTTGAATCAGAATCAGCTGCTTTAGAGCATTCTGCCTGAGGGAGCAGGATTCCTGGAACTGAGAAAGCACGATCCCTGTGGCCTCATTTAGATTTCAGCTGTTGCTTTCAGAATTTTGGAATAAACAATACTGGTCCCAGAAGTACCCTAGTTTTGGGTCACACCAAGCAGAAGCCGTGTTATGTATCGAGTGAGTTTTGTGGACCAGAGTTAGGGCCATTCCCGGGTGGAGGTAGGGGGATGGTAGGGGAAGAGCGATTCCGGGACATCCAGCAAATGGTACCCCGCAAGCTTCTCAAGTGGAATATTTTCTAATGAATCCTGAAGGTGCCATGAAGGGGAAATGCACGTCAAGAGGGGAGAGGATTACTCTGGTGACAAAGTGTTGGGGAGGAGTTACGTGACTACTTCTGATATTATTAATACCGGTTGGCAGGATTCCCCTCATTTTCAGCTGCTGCCCCTTTAGTCAGCGAGAGGACAATCCGATGTGAAAGCATCAGATTTGGTGTTGCCCCTGATTTGTTGGAATGTAGGATTCAGTAAAATTGGAACCAAGAGATCCAATGCCATTTCTTACGTTGCTTTCAGGTAATTGCCAGAGAAGGGGTGAGTGCTTTGAGCGTGTCAGAACTGCAAGCCGCCTGCAGGGCCCGGGGGATGAGATCCCTGGGTCTCACTGAGGAACAACTGAGACAGCAGCTCACAGAGGCAAGTTGCAGCTCTCCTGGGCCCTTTTTGCTAGAACTCTGTCCCCTGCGATTTGTAGACCTCACTGTGATTTCTACTTTTCCAGCGAGCCGTCCCACCTAATTTGCCTTCTTTAATTGAGCAGTGGGACGCTGAAGAAGCTAGATTTATTTTTGATGGAGACAGGGTACTCTATTAGTTTTCTTTCTTTTTTAAGTTTAAATTTCACTTACTTGACATACACTGCAATACTGGTTTCTGGCGTAGAATTTAGTGATTCGTGATCACTTACGTACAACACCCAGTGCCCTCCTCATACCCATCACCCATCTAGCCCATCCCCCCTCCCACCTCCCTCCATCAACCCTCAGTTTGTTCTCTATCCTTAAGAGTCCCTTATGGTTTGTTTCCCTCTCTTTCTCCCCCTTCCCGTATGTTAATCTGTTTTCTTTGTTAAATTCCACATATGAGTGAGATCATAGGGTATTTGTCTTTCTCTGACTGACTTATTTCACTTCGTGTAATACACTCTAGCTCCATCCATGTCATTGCAAATGGTAAGATTGCATTCCTTTTGATGGCTGAGTAATATTCCATTGTGTATATATATACCACATCTTCTTTATCCATTCATCAGTTGATGGACATCTGGGCTCTTTCCATAATTTGGTTATTATTGATAATGCTGCTATAAACATCAGGGTGCATGTACCCCTTCGAATCTATTGCTGCTTAAACAATGACAACAAACTTAGCGGTTTATTAGCTTACATGTTCTGTCAGAAGTGCAGGCTGTGTTTTAGCTGGAGGCTCTGGGGGAAGTCTCCATTTCCAGGCTCATTCAGTTTGTTGGCTGAGTTTAGTTTCTTGCAGCTATAGGACTGAGGTCCTATTTCCTCACTGGCTGTCAGCCCCAGGCTCCTCAGCCCTGCAGGCCCCCTGCATTCCTCACCTCTAGGCCCCGTCCATCTGCAAAGCTAGCAAAGGAGAGCTTCTCAACACGAGGCCCCCCAAAGGCTTCACATCTCAGACTTCCCCTTTTTGACCTCTTGCTCCAGATTTAAAGGCTTCACGTGATTAGGTGAGACCTACTCAGATAACTTCCTGCTTTCAGATCTGCTGACTCGCGACCCTAATTATTTCTGCAAAATCCCTCACGGCAGCACCTAGATTCATGTCTGAATAACTGGGAGAAGGTGTGGGTACACTAGGGACTAGGAATCTTGGGACCACCTTAGAATTTTGCATACTCCAGGTATTTTAAGGGCCCCAGACAAAATCTCAAATCCAAGGCCTGTTGTGTATGAATCCATCTGGAGGTCTGAACCTTGCCCTGAGGGCTCAGCTGGGACTACTTCCTAATTAGTACCCCAAGCCAATGTAAAGTGTTAGCTTTGGCAACAGATGTTTAATATTTTCCCACTGACAACATATTTTAACTAAGAGCATCAATGTTTTCTTTTTTTTTCAAGATTTATTTTAGAGAGAGAACATGTGCACACATGAGTTGGGGGAGGGGCAGGGGGAGAGAATCTTTTTTTTTTTTTAAATTTTATTATGTTAGTCACCATACAAGAGGGGGAGAGAATCTTAAGCAGACTCCCCGGTGAACACGGAGCTAGATGTGGGGCTCAAGGCGGAGCTCCCACCTTGATCCCACAACCCATGAGATCATGACCCGAGCCAAAACCAAGAGTCGGACGCTTGACCGACAGAGTCACAGGCACCCCAGAGCATCAGTGTTTTCAAACAAGCAGTAACTCCTATTAAAATTCTCATTCTTGCAACTGTAAGAAATGCTATAAAGTATATACAAATTATTTTGGAATCGGAGCCACTGTTGTGACTTTGAAACCATGTCAGGTAGCTATTTCCTTTTACCTGTTGGACCTGCTCTGGCTGGAAGATGAACATATTGTAGAGAAAGGTTCTTAAAATCATTTATTTTTTTGAACATAGAGCATTGAGTGGGTTCATACTGTCCAATAGCTTTCTTGAAAGAGTGTATCATTTTTCCCACCAAGGAGTGAGGATACTAATCCAGCCATATGATATTCGACACTGTGTATTATCCAGAAATTCCTGTGTTAGGATACAGGCAGGCATTTCATAGAAAGGAAACTCTAAGATGATAATCGTATGAAACATCTTAACTTCATAATAAGATAAATTAAAACTATGAGATATCACATTCACCTGTTACATTGGCAAAGATCAGTTTGATAATACACTGTGTTGTTGAGGGTTGGGGAGAGGGGCACTCATGCATTGCTGATAAAAAACCTCCATGGAATCTTTCAAAATTTAAAAATGCATTCACTTTGACCTAGAAATTTCACTTGTGCAATATGACATATCTATAAGATTATCCATTGCAGGGGCACCTGGGTGGCTCAGTCGTTAAGCATCTGCCTTCGGCTCAGGTCATGATCCCGGGATCCTGAGATCGAGTTCCGCATCGGGCTCCCTGCTCCGCGGGAAGCCTGCTTCTCCCTCTCCCACTCCCCCTGCTTGTGTTCCCTCTCTCGCTGTGTCTCTCTCTGTCAA